CCCCCCAGAAACCCCCTTCCCACCCCCAGCTACACAAGTATGCTTTGTCTGTGTTTGAACGTCTCAGTGCACAAATCAGTCAGTGTGTAAAATCTGCGCCTGTGAGGTTGTGTATGTGTGTGAGTTTCTATAGTGTTTACCAAAGGCTGCGTGTAGATGTGGAGAATGTTTGTATCCATGTGTCCGCCTTCTCCCTCGCTGGCAGCTGTCACTGGAAGAGACTCAACTCCAAATTAAGCTAGACAAAAGGCAACGAGAGGCAGGAAAATGGGACAGCTCTTGCAGGACTCCTTTTGGACTCAGTCTGAGCTTCACAGGGAGCATGATGAACTATAGTGTTTGTGTGTATGTGTGCGTGTGTGTGAGAGGGAAAAGAGCAGGGGATGCCTTTTTAGTGAGCGTGGCAGTTGTATTATAGCTGTGGTGTTAGAATTATGGCTGGCTTCTTGCTCAGTAAATCACACTATAAATAGCAGCTGCCCTTTTGCATAGTGACACATCCACACCATTATCTACGAGCATAATAACTCGAAGTAAGAACGATGATGGAATCCCGGACACATTTATCAGCTTGACAGCAACAAAACAAAGGGGATCAATATTTGATGGTGGAGTTATGATCCATTTATCACGCCTGCAACGCAGGAGCCTGATAGCAGATTGATTAGTCATTCTCAGATTTAAAAAACAAAACAAAAAAGAAACGCCTTGTTTCCTTGATCACTGCAGAAAGCAGAACAGAATTTATGAGTGAAGTCGCCAGAAGACAAATCAAGTGGGTCCCTGCCTACGATCTTCTTTCACCCTCTTTGTCATTTGATAGTGTGATTGCTGCCACGCTCCACTGCTGTCACCTGCGTCTCATCCCACTGAAAGATGAGAGAGGAGTGAAGTTACAGCAAACTAACAGCACATTGCAGAGTTGTGGTGTACATGGATACCACATGGCGTGTGTGTGTGTGTGTGTGTCTGTACTGAGATGCAGACATGACAGGGAGTGACATGGTGCGAGGGAAATCCAGTAGTTAAGCCTCTGCATGTATTCAGAAAGACGCAGAGTCATTCTTTTCTTGAGGGAGTCAAAAGAAAGAGCTTTGCTGCCATTTTGACATCATGTTTGAACATCTTTTCTGGCATATAATAAGAATTTTAATTATGTAAGGTGTGAAAAAACAAAAAATATCACAGTTAAAGGACTGTCACTTTGTAGGAGGACACCAATCTCGATTACCAACCAACGGGGCAAAATTGTTAACAGCTCCAGATGCACAGACTTTCAGGGTCCCTGAAGCTCTAATGTATATGTGCATATGACTAAGACCCAGATAAATTAAACGAAATCAAATGACCTTCAAACTATATTCCACAGAAGATGGGACAAAAGGGGTTCAATGGCTGATTTTGAATCAGTGCCTTGTGGTTAAACTGAACAGATGTTGAGATTTCAATTCAGTGACTTCAAATAATAGCAAAAAAAAAAATTCTGCACATTAAACAGAAGTAATTCCAGCTTATAAACAGTGACTTAGCCTCTAGATTCACCAGGATTTTTAGCTATTAAAGTAGCCCTTTGTCTGTTTACTTCTAAAGTGCTTCTTCATATAAGTTGTTGCTTATCGACATACAACACAGCTGGATTTATGAAAGGTGCTGCGCGGGCACTTTGTTGATCTTATTAGTGGATGCTGTTCTGTTACTGAAAGAACCTCCATCGGGAGGCCAGTTTATGTAACTGAGAATTATCTAACAATTAAATGGAGTAAAAATATTTGTGTATGACTGGCTCTCTGGGGCCTTTCCGCGTCTCACCAAAGCAAATGTAACTGATGTTCTTTGTTGATAGAAAAAATAGAGTAGATAACTGACAAGACCTTGGAACTTGAAGCCCTCCAGATGGACCCACAAGGACAGGTCCTCGTTGTCGCATTCGCAGCTCCACGGGTTCCCGCTGAGCCCCACTGAGCGCACGGCGGGCAGCGCGATCAGGGAGGTGATGTTGAAGACCGTCAGGTTGTTTCGGCTCACATCGAGTACCTGAAGGGCCGCGTTCTCCCCAAAAGCGTCCGGGTGAATTTCGGAGAGCCCCGGGTTGTCCGTCATCCTCAGCATCACCAAGCTCGCCAAGGGGCCGAACGTCCTGTCCTCGATCCGGGTCAGAGTGTTGAAGGAGAGGTCCAAGTAGGCCAGCTTGCGTAGATTCCCAAAAGTGGACTCTGAGATCTCCGTCAGAGAGTTGTTGCTGCAGTCCAGGTACACCAGGTCAGAGAGGTAGTTGAGCGCGAGAGGCGGCAGCTCCGCGATACGGTTGTTTGAGATGATGAGCTGCCGCGTGGCCAGCGGAAGGTTGACCGGGAAGGTGGTCAGGTGCTGCCCAGCGCACTGGACCACAAGTTGGTCGTCACACACGCACCTGTCCGGGCAGCCAGTGGAGATTACCGGGGATGAGGGGACCGCTGTCGCGAGGAGGAGCAGAACTAGAAGTCGCAGGGGTTGCGCGCTTGGCTGCGGGGCAAGACGCATGACACCGCCGAGGGCTTCATCAACCCTGTTTGGACAGAGTCGGTCGCAGTGACATTCTTCATTGATACATCATCACCGTGCGAGCCGCTTGTCCCAAGAAACGATCTCCGACGAGGTCAAGCCCAAACGTGCCCGTGGCAACCTCTTGCGCGTAATGTCTCAGTTCATCCTGTCTGTTGGTTCTGGATCCGACGCGCATCCGCTGTGCTGGACTTGACGGTCGGCTGCCTTGGTGCTGTTTCGAATTTCATGAATTTATTGAGTGTATTCTCCTGACAGCTGTTCGCACGTCGTAAAAAAGCCGACGTCCTTTGATGCTTCGCTGCAGCTCGCAGTCAGTTGTTCCGTTACATGTTTGCCATCCTCTCGCTTTCCGAAACTGAATCCAAATAAAGGGGGCGCACTGAAAGGGAGGAGGGGGG